CAATAATACCATAGAATTCCACTATAATTTATCAAGCTCGGTAATTAAGATGTATTTTAGTAAAAAAAAAAAAGAGAGAGAAATTTTGAGCAGACTAAAGACACACCCTACCTCGTTGAAATTTTGGTTCAAAAGTAAGAAATGGTGCCAAGCCCATTAAAATGGTTGAGAAAGCCACTAGGGGACATTCTGAGCTTCCAATTGGTTATTCATGTCATATATAGAAGTGTATATAAGGGAGTGTTTACAAAAATGGAAAGAGGTGGGCAGGGAACCACTGTGTTTGATCTATTAAATGAGCAATATCTTAGCAAATTGAGAAGATAAGAGGCTCTTATTTCATATTCTAGCTTGTCAATATCAGTAATTTGAGTTTCTAATTCATACAAAACTATAGACTTAATATTTTTACTTCACAAACATCTAATTTGAACCAGTGCTGCATTCAACATACCATGTGACACACAAAAATTGATGTTTATCTGCGTTTTTTAATATTTGCTTTTAAATTAAGATATTCAGTAATATATAGTACTAAAATTTGAATTATAATCTACAGTTTGATACCAAACTTATTGACATAAGTTCATGAAATAGAAGTTCAATCAAATTTTGAATGCGAGTCAACAAACAAGATGACATGGCCTTTCACTTGTGACTCGTCTCGAAAGGGTTAAATGATATTATTATCAGAGGTGTCAGTATGTGCTTAAAAAATTTGTGGATCGGGCCCCATAGGTGCAGGAATTGTCGGAGTTTCGGTATGATATTGATTATGGTATTCTATTCTGACTTTTCAAGACACCAACTAGGGATTCAAGGCACTGTCAAATACAACTGGGGCATGGACCCCATGTGCCAGTGACTAGCAATGCCTCTAATTAGTACTATTTTTAAACAAATGAACATCACGAAGAAAAATAACATGCAAATAGTATTATAAAAAAAATATAACAATAAATTAATAAAATTTTTGTTAATTTCCTTCATTTAAAGAAAGAAAAACTTTCACCATACCATAACTGGTTTCAACAAGGTGCTCAAGTAAATCTATCATCATATTTCAGCTCAACAAACAATTTAATTGTTATTAGACAACTCCTTGAAGTAAATATTTTTGCACTATAGTGAAATTTAAAATTTTATAAATGAAAAACAAAATTATAATGAAAGCCAAAATGTCCAAGTGAATTCTTACTTTTGATAACTCATTTATAAGCAATGTTGTAGTGTAAACCCTAGAAGTACTGCAATGTGGGGGTGGAGGTGTTCTTAAACCTTAAACAACAAACTATACATTATTATACGAATTCAAGGTCTATTTGTGCATTGAACTGGAGACACCATGTTAAATAACAGCCACTCTAGTTATTTCAAGATAAAACAGGTAGACATTTTATTATTTTAATAAATTTACAATTCTAATAAATATATTTTAGATTTATCAGTCAATGATATTTATCTTTTACATTTTCTTTAACATCAAGCACGATCCTGTATAACTATATTTATGAAGCTTTCGTTTTCACTTGCTATAGGAGCCAAGACAAAGAAAATGAGTTGTTAAGTATTTGATTACAAGATATAAGTGTAAAATTTTTCTTATAATGAATAAGGAATTCCAAAGACTGTATACAGAAACTTATGTTTCCTTAAGGTACAGAAACAAATGTAAACATTTAATTATTGCTTTTCAAAATGACACACCTTGGAAATAGTGCTTCTGACTCGTATATGAACTCCTTTGTCACAGAGTTCTTGAAGTCTAGTTCTCCCTAGAAAAAAAAAAAAAAGGTTAGTCAAATAACCATTATGCACAATAAAACCATAAACTGAACTGAATAAATTAAAGTCAGTAGAATACTACATCTTAAAAGTTTTTGACTAAAAAAAATCCAATGGTATACTATCAAAAATAGAAAAATATACTTCCCAAAGTCACAAAACTTCACACATTTAAGCAATATACTTCCCAGTCACAAAACTTCACACATCTAAGCAATATACTTCCCAAAGTCACAAAACTTCACACATCTAAGCAACATACTTCCCAAAGTCACAAAACTTCACACATCTAAGCAACATACTTCCCAAAGTCACAAAACTTCACACATCTAAGCAAGAAACTTGTACAGAAGTAATAAACTATGCTAAAGAATCTTGTCAATATCAACAATTGTTCTCAAAGCACTCTTAATTAAAAAATACAATTATACATGAGTTTGGAGAAAATGAATTTTGCTTTATCACAAAATAGAAGTAAAAATACATCACTATGAGTAAACTTTCACTTCTATGAAACAAATAACACTAAAAATATTCTCTATTTACTGAAGAATATAACATTAAACTAATTGTGCTCCAGCTAAGATATCAATATTCAAATAATCAAATTGCAGACACCAACTTTTATGATGAAACAAAAAACTTTACAATAACTTCTGTATGTTGCAAGTAATACATGCTTGCTATTAAGAATCCCTCTATTTTACTGTTTAAAGCTTCACAATTACAATATGATGACTTAGATTTAAGCATTTTAAAACACTGTGAAAACAATCAAGATATAAGAAGCAAAAATAAAACATTACCATAAAAAAAGAGGCACATGTTTTACCTAAACTTGTATGTATTTGATTTTCTAAAAACCATTAACTGCTTTTGTTGTTTGGTTTCTTGCACTTTAATAGTATTAGTTTTGTCTCATTATTGTGTAACTTCAACTGCCTGTGTCACACTTATTGGTAACATCCCACTCCTTTCCTCCTCCATCTAGTCATCTATCACATCAACCATCATTCAAACTCATTACAAACATTCTCATGGTTTTAGGTTTCCATACTGTAGACAAGGTATCAAAGTGTAACCATACTTCATCAGTGGTTTCAATTGTACAATACAGGATATTTAATACCCAACATCCTTGCACTATTTGCTTTACAGAGTATCTTGAAATTTGCATTTCTCGTACATATATCCCACAGAAATGCCATTTATTACTTTATTTCTCCTTGATGTTAGAAGGGAAATCAACAGTATTTTGCCTGTCTACATTTACAATGAAAGAACCTTCTTAGCCCAGTGAAGTGCATGCTTCCCATCATACATCATAAGTGTCACTACAGAAATATAATTGTGATCTATCGTTCTTCAGTTAATATAATCAAAAAATATCTTAAAATAAAGATTAGAGCTTTTTTTTTAGCATATTTCAAAACTTTATTGTTGTTTTACAGTCATAGCAGTAGGTACATCAAGAAACACTTTCAGAACTGACAAGATTCTAGGTTGATTTTAAACTTGCTGGTTGCTTGTACGATTAACTTACACAGGGAGACTCCCATTAAAAGTTGACTTGTTATCATTTCTGTTTTACTTCTCTATTTCAGAGATTTAGATTTTTATCAAATAAATTATTATTCAGTATTATTCTACAAGCTTAACTTTTGAAGGTCGTGAAAAGAAACCAGCAAAAATATTCTACAGCTTTACTCAGTCAATTCTCACCAAGTTATTCAATGATGATATCAAAATTATCAATTTCTTGACCCACCTCCAATACTTCTGGTCATCTCTATTTTAATGTCTACCTTAAGACCCACTGATTTTTTTAAAAATAACATTTTAACAATTTTATATTTTATTCTATCGATAATGAACTTACCTTCTACACGAGTTTTGTGGTACTTCTGCTCCCAAGCATCAAGCAATAAGTTATAATATCGTGTTTGTTCAAGATACTGGAAGTAATGATTGGTATTTGTCGTGGGAAACACTCTGATGAACTTCCCACAACGAGCCAGTTCATCTTCACTTTCTACTAGATGACGCACATCATCAGGTGTCAGAGAATCAAGAATGGTAGACTGTAAAAAGATAGGTTTTATCATCAAATACAATGCTAACTCTTTTACATAGTCTTATATCTAATAGCAAATAATTATAGTCTTTTTCAAAGAACAACAACAGGAAATTCATTGGTATTGTTCTTCTAAACCTCAAAATACAACAAATAAAAAAAATTTCATCCTTTGCAAAACTAGTTTACCCTTTATACGTTTATTCAATTTATATCATAATTTTATCCAAGCTTCAAAGAATTCCTAAGGCCAAACATACACACACACACATAAAAATAAATCAGTGTCAAAAAGACTAAACTGATGACCAGTAACACCAACGACATCAGCACTGAGATCAATGTACACTGACAAAGACTTGAAACAGTAAAACGTTTCAAATACCTGGAATAAATTGTCACAGATGAGGGTTCCAAACCTGAGATACTTTCCAGGATTGCACTGGCAACAATAGTGCTGGCAAGGTTGAAACCAATATGGAACAACAAAAACATCACTCTTAGTTCCAAAATTAGGTTGTTGCATTCCCTTGTCATATCCATATTTCTGTATGCTTGCAAAACATGGATCCTCACAGCAGATCTAGAAAGAAGACTACAGGCCATGGAAATGAGTTGTTACAGAAAGATCTTGCACATCTCATATAAAGACTGTGTTACCAATGAAGAGGTCCACAACAAGATCCAACAAGCTATCGGACCATACGAAGATCTCTTGACCACTGTAAAAAAATGCAAAATGAAGTGGTATGGTCACATCTCACAGTCATTTGGCTTGGCAAAGACCATCTAGAAAGGCACCATCAGAGGGAAAAGAAGAAGAGGCAGACATAAGAAAAGGTGAAAAGACAACATCAAAGAGTGGACCTGGAGTTCTTCAACTCCCAGAGGGAAGTGGAAAACCAGAAAAGATGCAGAGAGAGAGATGGTTGCAAAGTTGTCAGTGGTGTCCCAATGAGGGTTAAGGGACAAAGTGAAGTGAGTGATTAGCCATGTGATCTTTTGGATGTAAGTGAGACATCACATTTCTAAGAATATGAACTACAGTTAAGACTGAAAGGCCTTGCTGTTGGCCTACACTTTAACCCGTCTAACCGCTCCACCAATGACATGCCTCTTACTGATACTGAAATTGAATTTAAATCATAAGCTGTCATAGAAATAAAAAAGGCCTAATGAATTACTACTTTAAACATTTTAACCCCATATGGTATGAACATTAACCCCCAGTATTAATAACCTTTGTCCTTTAACTCAGTCTTTCTGTAAAAAAAAAAAAATTATTTTAAAATTAATTTTCTTATTACTGCACTGATAAAGTTTCCACTTTTTATTACCAATAATTAAAATTATTTTTATTTATGTATTATAATTTTTATTTAATATCTATTTATCTATTATTTCTATGTTCTCATTTATATATATTTATAATAAGTGTATTTCATTTCTTAAATTTCTTAATAATTTTTCACTCTTCCAGATCCAGTACAATAAAGTGCTGTTGTCAATAAATTTCCCAACTGTTATGGACATTACTTTGTGCACAAAAATACATTCTTGTACACAGTTCCTATTTCAAAACTAATCTCTTTCTTTGTTTACTATCACCAACAAATCAGAAAAACACAAAAACTATTTCACATTATAGGTCATATTCTCAGCATGTGATATCTCACTTCCAGTAACAACCATGTTACTCTTTGATAGATTGTTTAGGCAGAGTATTCACGACGAGTATACTGGATTGGAGAGAAACTGCCTGTTGTAAAAAATACAAGTGTAGAGGATAATGTTTTGAAAGTCTTCCATATTCAGGTCCAACTGTTCAACATGCTTAAAAATGGTTATTTGCCATTTATCCCTGATATAGGAAATTCCACTTTCCAAAAGCACTAGGGTAACTGAGTTTCTTTTCCAGTACTAACTTTTTTCTGTTAATTCTCTGTGCTTTTAAATATCATAAATACAGATTGCATGACATACAGTTGTACATGGAACTCTGTTGTGGTTATGTAACTTTATTAGAAATGCTCTTACAATTGATAGTAATGTTGTAAAAAAATTCAGGAAAAGCATTTTATATAACTATACATCACTAACTGAGTAAGTATTAAAAATATAGTTTTGTCAATATTAGCACTCACCCAACATCCTGTCTTGTTCTGGTATTCTAGATGCTTAGCTTTTTCTTCAGCAGTTAGAGTGAACCTGAACAATTTCTGATTAAGACATAAGTAGCGGGCTTCTTCAGGCTTCACACTAAAACAGAAACTCTGTAAATCAGAACTCAAAAAAGGAATTTAAAAAAATAAGTAAAATATTGTTTGTCTGTAATTAAGCACAAAGCTACACAATGGGCTATCCGTGCTCTGCCCACCATGAGTATTGAAACCAGGATTCAAGCATTGTAAATCTGCAGACATACAGCTGTGCCACTGGGGGGCAAAGTAAAATATAGCAAAATGAATAGAAGTGTATAATATCAAACTTATACAAAAGAAAACTAAAACATAAATGATTAGGATGCATTAACCCTTTCAAGATAGGTCAGAGAG